TATTTGTAACAGAGAAGTAAACTGTAAATTTAAAAAAGCCGAAAAAGAGAACGTCATTATGCAGCTGTTTGTAGTTTTCGTTGTCTTAGTTTTGTCATCTCGTCGTTTTTCATTAGTTTTTGTATATTGTTAAACTTTATCGTTGAATAATTAATTGTAATAATTTCGCTACTTTCACTTTAAAGTTTACTACAATTTTACCGGTTTATCAAGGCATTTAATATTTGTTCTTTTATTGACTCGTTGAAAATTTTTTTCTATTTTGATTTATCGCTGACTGTTATTCATTAATTTATTAGCTTATTATTTTAAGACGACTTCTGTTTTATTTGTTTGTTTATCTGTGTGCATGGGATTTTTGTGTGCGTATTAGCGGACTTCTGTTACTATGGTTTGGCATAGATGATTGCTGGTGAGGGGAAGATGACTGAAGAGAGGACACTTTGCAAGAATTCTGTGTCAGTGTACGTCTGTGAAAACTATTGCTACATCTCTTTTTGACTGTATGAAAATAAATTATCATTAAGCTTTTTTCTGACAGGCAATTTAGATTTGATTTTAAAAATTCCTGTTCAGCTATAATTTTATTAGATAATCGCATTATTTGTTGCTTTTTTTTTTCTGCTTGCCAGTCATCTTTGACGTTTACTTCGCTGTTATTGGTCGTTTTCTTTATTTTATTATTTTTTTGACTGTGTATATTTTTTATCATAGTTTTATTGCCATAGCTAAAAAATTTAGGAGGGAGAAAAATAATAAAGGGCTGATTCAGAACACCACTGTATTGTAAAGAAGAAAAAAGCCAAGTGTTTTTTTGTGCGGGAATGGTAACGTTGGTTTTATTAGTTGTTTAATAGGCGTAGGGCACTTATAGGTGGTGATATAACTGTTTAAGTTCCTATATTTTTAAAGTGTTCTTTGTTGAGTATGGTTAACAATTTAGCCGCAGTGGCTTTTCAAAAATAGATGAATGTTAGTTGGTAGCTGTGAAACTTTGTCTTGTTGTTATCATATTTCTAATAATAATCACTAAAAGGAAGAAAATGAATTTCTTTTTGCACTGAACTACTAATACTTTAAGTCATTGTTGGCATTTTTTATGGGGCAATTTTTTTCTGCATTTTTTGCATGGTTAAGTTTAATAAATTTTGTTGCTTTTCTCTCTTTGGAATAAAAA